GTACTTTATTTCAATTTAAAAAAATCTTGACTCTATAAATGAAATATTTTGAAATTTATTGATATGTATTTCGTACATTAGAATAGTATGTATAAACACACGTGTCTCATGGAGATATTTTGTTTCCTCGTTTATCTCTTGGGGTGTCAACACTGCTTTTTTTCTTCTTCTTTTCTTGGTGTGATTCTGTGAAAATTCTTTTTTGTGAATTCTTTTTTCCACTTAACTAGATTACAGTTACGAGAAATTTCTAGTTGAAAATTGGCCAAAGATGTGCTTACAGTACGCTACACATGCGTAAGTCTTCTTTTTCACAGTTCTGTTTAAATGTAAGATTTTAATATTATCAATTTTAAAAAAAAAAAGGGGGGGGGAGGATGGTTTCAAGCATATCACTCAAAAAAGACACACAAACCTGCTTTTTCTTTGGCATGCCTTGATCTGCAAATTTTTAAACAATAATTGGCTTATTTGAGAGTAATAACAGCTTTATATGAGAAAGAGATAAATGTCGAAAAAGATACAATTGTGAAATAGAAATAACTTTTAAAAAATACGCAGCATGTTTTATAGACTACATATCAATGCCATTTTCAACATCAAATTACTTCATTGCATATTTATAATTTCTTTTTCAGTACATAAATCAGACCTTAGCCTATAATTAAACATTGATTATTTCCTTAAGTTTATATACACTGATATACTTATGTGTATACTTACCTTCAATATACTTGGTTAGTGCCCTCTCCTCCTCGACGGAGTCAATCTGCACCAGGGTGGTACCCATATCACGACAAACCTCCACCGACTTATTGTAAGTGGTCAGCTCGGTGTGGAAGTAGTAGCATCCCTCATGTAGACCAACAAAAGGTTCTGGACAAGGCAAAGCATGGCAGAATGTGACCACTGAGAGAAAGGTTGAGTCATATATAGATGAAATGTATGGAGATAACGAACCGTATTCAAACTCAAAAGTCCATTAAACAATACAAATTTTGGAGCAGAGCAAACACGGACCTCTAAAATATCAGAGGTGGGATCAGGTGCCATGGAGGAGTGAGCATTCTCTTCCGACTGGTCACACCCGCCGTATGCTCCTGTCATGATCGGGAAATAACGGAAAAATCCGTCGACAGTTCAGTGTGTAAATAATGGCCCAGCAATTAGTATGAAAAACTTCAGTCAGCATTTGACTTAATGATAAATTGTATTTGCTGACAAGGTCATTGTATCGACCATAAAACTTACGAAATGACGACTTTAAACGAGACTGGTGATATTCTTGTTTCATCAACTTGTTTGTCATTAACTTACCCCGTTTTAGAAACTGAGCATGCTCTTGCGTATCGAATCAACTGAGAGATATAAACCCCGTATGCAGGTGATGAAGGTATATTGCTGCATAAGTAAGGGAAGTTGACGATTGAAACATAAAACTTAGTCATAAAGCTGTCAGTTCAAATTTCGAACAGATTTAATAATAGAGATTTCGTTATGTATTTTCAGTTTCTCTATCTGCCAAACAGCATGCTTTTAATGTTGTCGTGATGAATATAATGTTGATGAATATGAACAGAATTTTACAAAGGAATGCAGTACAATTAAAATATTTTTGCAAGGAAACATGGAAAGAAATTTTGATCATTTCAAATGCTTCAAAAAATCAAAGACCGACGACTCTCTATATCCATTGTTTCTGTGGGAGGTGTAGAACAGGGAATTATTTGGGATTTTCCGTTTCAGCGTAGCATCGTATTTAAAATATCCTTTGTTAAATGTACACAAAATATAACATATTACTTAATAAGTGTAAGTAATTCATAAGATATTGAAGGTCAGATGTACCAAGGGGCTGAATCAAAAACTAAATGTTTTAAAATTGAGAAATTCACAATATCAAATTCCTCCAAAACCCGGGGTTGAACTATAAACAGTAAAACTTGTCTAATCTGACACCACCTGTTTCAAAGTTTTTGTCATTTAAAATTAGATAAAATAACTTACCAATAAATATACACAGAAATGATCCATTGAACACAATGTGCATGTTTTTATTTGTATTCAATTAACATTTATAATCAGACGTCAGCGATTTTGGCGGTTGTTTTACAAGAAAATACCAATATCTGATATATATGATGAGGACATTTTTTTCTGTAGCTGAGAACTGTACTTGGTCATTAAGAACACGAGATGTTGTTAATAATGTGTAGTCGATGTTACGATGTCTGAGCCCGAGGAGAACATGACAAGGAAGTGGGAGCTATGTTCTACACAGAAACATAACATCCCTAATTAAAACATCCATTACTTTTTAATGACTCTGTCCGATTCTGTCCAAACAATCCGTTCGATCGAGTCAAATTCGGAAACCCGTAAACGCGGGGGGAGGGGGAGGGTTTTTTTCTGAGTAGAGATTTTTGCTATAAATTTAATTTGTATATTTCCATTTAGAAGCTCATTGCCCCCAACTTTTTGTTGCTTAAGATTGAGCACTGACAAATTCGCATATGAAAAAGAAAATGTTCCATAAAGCTAGAGAAAGGTCAAATCCCCCACCCAACCCCCGAAATAGAATTTTCGAGATTGGATAGTTTACTTTTTTTTTATTTGATTGTCAGATTTTTGGGAGGTCCCCCTTTTAAAACTGTTGTTACGGACCTGCTAGATAGCAGTATAAATGTATGCTAATTTTTTAATTCACACGATCTAAAAAAAAAAAATTAACTTTCTATCGATGTGTTTTTCAATAAGATACACGATTTTTGACGGGTTGCAATTTTTCCAAAGCAATATTTTTATTTGTATCCATAGACACTCCCTATCTTTACTGATAAATTATAAATAGAAAGTAAACCTTCTATTTTCCGATTAATGATTGCAGTGAACTTTCAGGGCCAGATTCTTAAATAGCAGAAGGTTGCAATTTTCGAAGTTTTGGAGGAAAATAAAACTTTTAAGTGGACATCCATAAAAACTATATTCTTATACGGCAGTATATTAGAATTGTAAGAAATGTATCAATCCATGTACCATGTGTTTTTTTTTCCCGAAATAGTAGTCCATTTAGAACTCCTTTAAAAAAAGAGATGGGCGAACAAGTACATGTTCACACAAAAAAGAAGATAGAATAAATCTCAAACATAATAAAATTTTCTTTGATATTTCATCTTTCATTAACTATTTTATGTAAAATTTTCACAATTTCCACAGATTGAAATATTCATATATGAAATAGCATATAACGTGTAAGTCTCAAAGAAAAATACTCCCTACATTTTTAGTGCTTGGGTTCGAAGCCCAAAAATACCACAGTATTTTTTTTTTTTTTAGTCATAGGATATTTTTTCCACAGAAACGTTTTGTTTGTCATAATTATACAGATTTCAATATTAATATACGTCTGAAGCTGTCGGCATTTCGTACGCCTCCCAAAATCTATGGTCGATACAATGACCTTGTGTTTGCAAATACAATCTGTCGTTGGGTCGACTGACGTCTTTCATACAAATTGTTAGGCCATTACTTTAACTGAATTGACTATGGATTTTTCTGTTTTATCCTATCTTTTCAAAGAGCACATGGCGGGTGTGATTGGTCGGCAAGGAAGGTTTATTCCTCTATGGCAGCTGATCCCGCCTCTGTTTTTCAGAAGCCCATGTTGGCTCTGCTCATAATTTTTATTGTTTTAATGGACTTTTCAGAATGAATACTGTTGGTTATCTTCATATTTCATTCATTATATATATATATATATATAAACATTATACAACAGATGATAGCTATATGTAAAACATAAAAAGAATTTTCCTATGGTTAGTGGTTGGATATGATTTTTATCCAACACGTGTGTGTTCCTGCTACCCACTCGCCAAGACTTAAGAATAGAAAACACACAAAGAATTGGACAAAAATCATATCTAACCACAAATCATGCATATGAAATCCTATTTGTCACCTTCATATGGAGTTTATGTTTCCAAGTACAGTTAATACGCGAGAGCATATTTTGTCTACAAACAATTTCTAAACCGAGGCAGGCTACTGATAAGTAAGTTGATGTTATAAGGATATCAATAATCTCGTTTAAAACCAATATTTTGCAAATTCTATGATCGATACAGGAATCTTGTTTGAAATTACAACCTGTTGTTGAGTCGAATGTTGATGAAGTATTCAATACAAATTGTTAAGTTAATATTTCCATACTGAATTGTCTACGGATCAATCAAAACAAAGAGCTCACAGCGGATGTGACAAGTTGATGGGAGATACTGACTCCAGGAAGTAAATGTTTGGTCACATATAGTCCTAATACTTTTAGAACTCTGATTGCAAATGCTCTCTGATGTTTTCAGAGGTCCGTGATTACCGTTCATATAATCTTCACATTTCATATCAGTGTCCTATACCAAATTTAGAATTAGTTCAATTTAAATTTGACGAAAAATTTATATTGAACACTCTAGACTTGATGGAAGACATCAGTATATCCTCTGCATGAAAATCACAGTATTCTATTATGCATTTGCCAGAATACTATGAATCACACAAAAAAAATTATGTTGAAGTGTAAACTTTATCTTAAAAAATATCATCAAACCAGCCTATTTTCAGTGCCATACACTTAACATCCCCCAAAATCTTTATAAGTGTAACTTGGAACCATAATAATTAAAAGATTAAAGGGCTGAATTCTCTTAGGAGTGGGTCATGGAAAGTGAAAATAAAACTTTACAATTAGAATTAATTGTTTCAGACATGTGACTGTCTTCTGCTAACATTGTCTTATGTTGGACAGAGAAGAATCAATTAAACCCACTATCTAGAAAACAATAACTGTGTCATATAATCCTCAGTATCTTTGTTTTCTCAAATACTTATAGTCACAAAACATCATCATAATCAAAATCAGGCAGATAAAACAAGAGATTTTTATTATCTGTATCACAGAAAACATTACAGTGATATAAACATATACATTACAAAAAGTCCTGATAACGGTATAAACTTGGTCAATCTCCTCTCTTTTGCACTATCATTTTTGTATTTTTATACTGAATTAAACCCAGTCAACTGAACTGCATTAGAGTACACAATAATTGATGACATCATGAGAGTTTGAGATGATGGGAATGGTGTGCTGCCTCCACAACAGTCTGGGGTACTGGTCTACGAACTCGAGGATCACCCACAGGAACATTCAAGCTGAAAAAAAGCCATAATCAACCTTAGTATTCTCCTTATTTACATTGCATTATTTGTTCTTCAAAAAGTGTCTTTTTAAGGTCAAGATCTAGTAAATGAAAAGAGCCTACAGATTTCTCAAACTTGAGAAATAAATTCCTTTTATGATGCTTTATGACTATAGCTCGGTCAAATAAGGTGTATCGGGGCATAATTTGCAAGAAAACAAGACGAAAAAACCATCTTGTAAACTGTCATTTTCAATGAAAAATTAAGAAAGCCAGTCACAAATATGGGAGTTTTTTCCATATCAGACGAAGGAAATGTATTCAGATTGCCTACAGTCTCTCAGAAAATGGTAATTTGTATGTTCTTAGCCTCTTCTTTAAAATAATGTATAATTGAATATAGGTATCGGGATTACTTTTCACATGATTTCAAATTGAATGCCATGAAAATACTTTATTTTCTACATAATTCTATTGGAGCTGTAAAGTACGGGAAAAGGAAAGTTTAAATTGATTATGACGTCATAATGGATCTAGCACCGAAAAGATGATCTAAAGTCATTTACTAGATCTTGACCTTAAATTTGAATCTAGTGATAATTGAAAGAGCCACAGTACTTACTTTACATTGGTTCTGTTGTTGACAACCAAAAGTGGGTTGACTTGACTCAGTATTTCTTCATTGACAGATATTCCGTCCAGATACTGCTTCAGCAAGCTCCGAAGCTGGGTGTTTTCTTGTACCAATGTCTGCTTCTCCTTGTCCAAGGCCAGTTTATCTAAGGCCACCTTATTGTATCGTTTCCAGAAGTTCTCCAGTGAGGTAAAGTCGTGCATTATCTAAATAAGAAAATGAGCATTTTAATTTATATATGTGTCAAAGGTTTAAAAAAAAACATTTTTATTATTTTGGAATTAAATAAAAGGGTATTCCTATAAATTATTTTAGAAAATGTAATACAACTGTATATGTTTTAAAATATGCACCATCTAGTTATATACGTAACTTTAAAACCACTTTAATCCTGTGAATTTTTTACATATGCGAAGTTCTCGCGTAAAGTTTTGATTGTATTCATACCAATGCCAGTTTTTCATATGGAGGTTCCTGTATGGCAGCCTCTACATCATCCTTTTCCTCCTGAGTGAGGGATGAGGCATAAAATGGCAGGACTTTCTCCTCTTCCGTCTCTAAACGTCTACACATTTCCGTCATGGTAATCACACTTTTAACCTGTATCATTCAGCAACGGTTAGACAAACTTATATTTAATATTAGAATTCTAATCTCATTTTGAATATTAATCTCTTGAATTTCATGATTTATGTTACAAATGAAATGGAAACTTGTAGGAATTCATAAAATGTTTATAATTAACTCTTTGATGAAGAAATGGTGCAGATGCAATGCCAGATAACTCTCTCCTTATGACATGACAAATGTGTAAAATGTGCATATACATAAAGTCATTAGTACTCTTGACACATGTCCCAACAAACAATACAAACAGTATACAAAACACAGCATATGAGAGTCTGTTAATTAACCAAAAATAAATTAAATTTTGTCCAAATATTAAAAAGCCAGCCTTTGGCATTATGAACAGCAAATTCAACGTCAACAACTCAAACTTCTGAGCACAAGCATGAGACTCAAACGTTTCATATGCTGAACACATACTTACTTATACTTTAGGAACCTTGTAAAAATTAGACTGTTAACAGAAAAGGTTATTGAAAGTCTGACAATGAAGTTCAAATTGATTTGATATGTATTAGATTGGTCCTTTGATTTTTGTTAAGCAATATGTGATGTGAAGATTTTTCATGTCATTAAACTAGTTTTATGTGATGGTATTATGTGACCATGTTTCCAAACTTTATTAAGATGACACTTCAAAACATTGCAAAAGTCAGATTTCATTGATCTGGCTGCATTATCTGTATATATGTATTAAATGTGAGTTGTGAACTAAACACATGACCTGTGAGATATATACACATACATTTTTTATTTAACAGCATACATATCACTTACGATGTTGTCATTGTTGACCAAACCATAGCAAAGTTTAGAACTTGGAAATAAAATTCACAGAAAATATTCAGAAGGATGACATAATTTTTATAACATTTATTTACCCGGTAAGTCAGATGAAAATTTAAAACACTGTTCAATATAACGGAAGACAAACAAACTGACTGGCAATATTAAATCTAGAATATATTACAGTTTTAATAAAGAAAATTCACCTTTTCTATTTTAGATTTGATGGTTTTGATAGCCCCATTGCTCTCAATTGTCATTTTCGTTAGTTTAGCTCTTTCTCCCTCCCTCAGTTTGTTCATTTCAGCCTTCAGATCTTGGAGATGGGCCAACATTCTCTCTCGTTCCTTTAACATTGTTATAATGTATATACATGAACACATGTAGGCAACACAGTCACATGATACATTACTTTAAACCAACTATTATTTGCATCATCTTTTAATCGCGAATCAACACGCGATGATTATTTTTCGGCACTGAGGAAACATTCCCTACAGATACAAAGCAAAATAATTGGTTCACAACGATTAATATTCGCAAGTCAAAGTAGGTCGCAAAACTCACAGATATTTCTCAAACACGAATAAAAGTTGGTTTGCAATATAAATGTATTTAGGGACATGTAAATTTAAACAAGTATAAGACCAACAAATCTTGGTGTCGTTAGAAACTATACAATTCCAATTATCAATGATATTTTTTTATATTAGAATATCATATTTCTGGTTTATAAGAATAAAGATATATTTTGTTGTTATTTACCTCTTTAATCGAACGGTTTCTTTGCTCATTCTCTTTTGCATTGGCTGCCATCTTGGCTTTCAGTTGTGCAATATTTTCCTGCAATGGGTTTCCAATAAATCATTTTAATTAAAGATAATAAATATTTTGAAAGATATACTAACAAAGAGCATAAAACTAACATGCTATTATGCTTGTTCTTTTATTAATCACAATCTTACTGAAATACGTTGAAGTTTCCTCATTTGAAAGTCAATTTCCTGAGCAGAAACATCATCCTTTGCCTTCAGTTCTTCAAACGCTGCTTTTCTTTCTGCATTATTTTCCTGGTAGTTTTTACGTGCTTGTTCAAATGCGTTCCAGTAGAAGTTGAATTTTTCTGTCAGCTGATGCCGCAAGCCATGCATCTCCTCCATATCCTACAGGAATATATTGATGATACAATACCATATATAGAGTTGCCACTGGGTAATGAAGCACCCACCACACATTCTGTGACAATTAACTCACTTTACAACTTCAGCACCTTAGATATAGGGTCTAAGAGAATATCATTGAATATTTAGGTCATATTTACTACGCTTAATATCAAAAATTGATTATCATATAATAGGTTATTTTAGTGAGTGGCATATTTAGCAATTTTTTTTTCTTAAAAGTGGGCATTTATTATAAGAATAATCAATTTTCAATAATTTTAGGGATAGCTCTATTCATTTCCTATTTATTTTAATGTTGCCAAGACCAAGATTATGAGATATCACTAATAATTCGTATTATATAGTATTTTCAAAGTACCTTCATGTAAACTTACTTTATTCCGAATCTCATCCACCAGACTCTGATAATCTGACTTGGCATCCCTCTCTCGCTCCTGAAAATTCTGGTCCATTGCAAATAGAATATCAGAAATCTCGTTCATCTCCCTGCTATGTTGATCCAACATGATGGCTCTCTCTGTGTCGAATTCCTCAGTAATTACCCCCAACTCATCCTCATACTGCTTCCTCAGGAATTCTATCCGGCTTCTGTGTTGATCTGACAGAAGGATTGGATGTATGAAATGTTACTCATTACGCAGAGACAAATAATTGAACAGTTGCAGGAAAAAAAAGGAATGAATATAAATAAAATACATGTAGAGCTGGAGTCTGAAATCTGGGACAAATGGGAGAAAAATCAGAATGAACTTCTCTATACAGTAAAACTTGTTTAATACGAACACGGATATAGTGAATTCATGGATATAGCAAATTTTTCTTGGATCCCCAGCTATATAAATTTTACGAATTTCTTATACGGATATAACAAATTATGAATATAGCTAAGTAATTTCACAGGTCCCAGTGACTTTGTTATAACTGAGTTTTACTGTATTTACAAAAATACAAAATGTATACTAAGTATATAATGCATATGAACTACTTTTAAAAAGTCATGTACACACCAATAAGGTTGTCTGTACTCTGTAGATGAGCCCTCAGTGACATGGAGTATTGTTCATCAGCCTCCTGTAGATCCTTAGCCAAAGCTTTGATGGTGGCATCCTTCCTGTCTACAATTCTCTCAAATGTCTGACTGAGAATCTCCAGGTCTTTTTTCAGTTCTTTGGACTTGTTTTCTCTCATAATGTTCCTCCATTGATGGTTCAGCTTATTTATGTTGAACTTTGTAGATCTCTCCTCCTTTGTTAGTTTATCCTGTTGATCAAGGGAAAAATATTAAAAAGATTTACAATGGAATAAATGATACCAAGGTTTGAATGAAATATACAAATGTTGTGTAAATCATTACACAAAAAGTATGTTCAATAGAATTGAATTTCTTTAAAAAAAAAAAGTAATTTTTTAAATAAATAAGTAAAACCCTAAATAATGTCTAAGGAAATGTAACATTTTTTTCATAAACATATTGTTGGTACCCTGGTAAATGAAATCTTTTAATTACTTTTAGAAATTGTGTCAACATGTTTTCCTTCTTTTTCCTTAGTTCTTCCTCAGCCAAAGCTTTCTGTTCTTCATATGCAATCCTCTCCTCCTCAGTCATATTTGCCAACTTGCTTGACTTCTTCTTCCCCCCCTTCTTCTTTCCACTCTTCTTACCTCCCTTAGGCATGACTGCATAAAGTAATAGTAAGTAAGTATAACTGTAATTACATATGTTAATCTGTCTCTATGACTGTGCATAATTATCACATAACAGACAAAGTCTATGTCGATTCCCTTTCAGAATGATGTGTATTTTTTATCAAAGATTATTCAGCTATATAAATATAAATGCTTCCAAATTCAAGCTTTGCAAAATTCCAACTAAATTATTAACTTAATTTCTTGGATTGAAAGAGTTGTGTCCCTTAAATGCTTTCATGTAGATATATGTATTGTTCATTGTACATTATATTATGCTCATATTGTCACTGATTAAATAAACGTAGGTGTGATTGTCAAGAATTGCACATTCTTAAATCCAAATAAATAGGTATATGCTTCAAAACATTCAATAAGAAATAAACAGATAAATATAAACAAACAGGTGCCCTTTGCATTTTATGGGAGGAATCTCTGAAACAGCTCAGTAAACCAATCGGTTTCTTTACATTATGAAAAATGTATCTTAAACTTTTACTTCTTACAACCCAATGAGATATCTTTGTACAGAAATTTTGTCAAATCTTGAAAATAAAAAAATACCTACTGTAATATGCGTTTGGTTTGTTACACTTGGTTACAAAAAATCTATATCTCACAGACGCTTAAAACTGTCTTCTATCCTTCATTTTCGATTTTCGTCTATGAAAAGAAGTGATAAGCCTGTAACTTATTTTAATAATTAAATAGATTATTTAACGGGCTTTTTACATTTATAAATATTGAGTAAGTTGGATCGCAATTTATTTACGTTTTTTATGAAAGGAATTATTCGGGAATATAAATTCCATCTTTGTTCATTTTATGTTCAATAGTTTCGTAAAGCGTTCTAGTGCCCTTGTATACCTGTATCCATGGTGTTTGGAAAAACGAGATTACTTTGCTGTTGAGGTAATGATGCTTCTCACATCGACATGATCTTTTCCTTTATAAGAATGTGGTTTTCTTCAATATATACGAACACATATTTTTAATATTTTTTGAGTTTGAATTAAGGTGAATGATTTTGAAAGTTGTCAACAAGCAGTAAATCTTCATTGAGGTAGAGGAAATTTGGATTTTTCGCCTTACATCTATACAGCATTGTTTTTCTTGTAGCTGACAGCCAATCCAATACGAAATAAATAAAAAATAAATGTTACTGCTTATTCAGTATTTACTTTATTGAACCTCTGTTCAAGACAATTGTAATATTCGTTTTTTATTATTATAAACAAAAACCCAGTTTGAAATACGCAAATATGACAAAAGTTTGTGCAACTTTAATACATCCAGGGATAAGGTGCATATATAGCTTTATTATACTTCTGTTAAAATGTTTCCTATATAAAGTTAAGAAGGTAAAATAACTATCTTTATAGTCTCAAAATTTCCACACATAGCAAAGCTATACCCGGGGTATAGTTTTTGCTATCCACCCCGCAGAAAATTTTCATGCAATTTTTGCCGCCAATTTTGATTTCCTGTAATCAATCTAAAGACTTATGATGTCATCCTGACTTCAGTAGCATTGTGGCGTCATCAAGATTTCAGCTCATTCTAGCAGTGTTATGTTATTCCAAATACTTGTTCAAAACTTCTATAATTATTATTTTTTTCATGTTTTTACTATCGAACTGTAGTATCAGGTAAATCCAATCCTCAGAAATTATGATATACATCAGTATAATAAAACGCTTATCCACTGGCTGTGAGTGGGATAGCTCTTTCATCAAACCCGCGACAGGAACTATTCCCCTCGGGCAAGCCCTCAGGGAATAGTTCCTGTCGCGGGTTTGATAAAAAAGCTATCCCACTCACAGCCAGTGGATAAGTGTATAATATATATACAGTTTAAACAATTGCACTTCTGCATGTATACATACTGGGATGGATCTTCTTGCTAAAATCTTGTGTTAAAATTGTGCCACCAAATTTGTGACAGTACTAAGATTCAGCTGAAAAAATGTAACTGGCTTTAAACATATATTGGTAGATTTTATTATTTTCTTAACTGTCAAAATAATCTTTTTTTAATGGATATGTTGCACACTTCTTCGTTTTCAGAGAAAAGTTTTATTTTGACATAAGCAATAATGGGACCTAAAAAGAAGGGAAAGAAGTCTGGCAAACTTGCCAAAATGACAGAGGAAGAGAGAATGGCTTATGAAGAACAGAAAAATCTTGCAGAAGAAGAACTGAAAAAGAAGAAGGAAGATATGTTAACACAGTTTTTAAAAGTAAGAATGAAACTGTGAAAAGTGAACAAATTGAAATAGATAAAGAATGGAGAGCAATAATATATTTCATTGTTCACCAGAATAATTTTTATTTATATCAATATCATAACAATATATTTTGGCCTTTAAAGGATAAATTGGCCAAAGAGGAGAGAGCAACAAAGTTCAACATAAATAAGCTGAACCATCAATGGAGAAACATTATGAGAGAAAACAAGTCTAAAGAACTGAAAAAAGACCTGGAGATTCTCAGTCAGACATTTGAGAGAATTGTGGACAGGAAGGATGCCACCATTAAATCTCTAGCTAAGGATCTACAGGAGGCTGATGAACAGTACTCCATGTCACTAAGGGCTCATCTACAAAATGTTGACAGTCTCATAGGTTTGTAAGCAGTGCTGTATTTAACCACATCATTTTTGCAATTAAACCTTATTTTTATGAACTTAAACTTTACTTTTAGTGAAATGGAAATGCAAACCTGAGCTGAAAAATACCTTGATTTTCTGAAATATTACATACTACTTTATGCATTGAAAAATACATTGGACTCCAATAAACACACTAACCTATTTAAGTTGAAAGTAATTTTATGTAATTGCACTCATTTAAAAAACTATCACTTGTCAAGCTAGGTAAAAGAATTAATGCTGTGTGGTATTCTAGTACTTTTGAGTCATAAAAGAGGAAATGATGCTTTTTTCCCTTTGTTTTTTGAAAAAAAAGGAGATACTGGAACTCACAGCATGTACATAAATGTTGGAGTAAAAGTTTATAACAAATACAAATTGATTGAACAACATATTTATCATTGTTAACAGAGATTTATTCTGTCTAAAGTAAATTTAGTATGTGTTGATATTCTTGATATATAGATCAACAGAAACTGAGGATCCATAGTTTACAGCATGAGTATGAGGAAGAACTGGAAGTAATCCGTGAGGAGTTTGACACAGAGCGATCCATTATGATAGAACAGAATGATGTGGAGATGAATGATATAGCAGATATTTTGTTTGCCATGGAACAGAACTTCCAGGACAGAGAGAATGAGGCAAAGTCAGAATTCCAGAGCATGACAGATGAAATCAGAAACAAGGTAGGTAACTCATGTCAGATGAAATCAGAAACAAGGTAGATAACTCATGTCAGATGAAATCAGAAACAAGGTAGATAACTCATGTCACATGGTAGATAACTCATGCCATAGCTATTCCAGAGCATGACAGATGAAATCAGAAACAATGTAGATAACTCAGAGCTAAAGCATCTGCTAGACTGAATGACAACAATTTGAATGTTTCCACATGTATACATACCAAAATTCTGAAACATTCTACATATTTTAAACAATGATGTGCTTTAAAAATTCCCCTTAAAGAACAGAACCCTTTTTTTTATTATAACATATTTATTTCAATTTATTCAACTGAATTTCATTGAAACTTCTGTAAGACAGTACAGGAACATCTCTGTTTGTATTCATTGTAGCACATGGAAGAGAAGCATGGCCTCCACCACACTTTGCAGGATAAACTGGAGTTTTACTGGAAGGAGTTCAGTAATGCACTGAAAATGTACCAGGAAAACAACCAAGATCGCAAGCTGGCCTTCGAGGAACTCAAAGCCAAAGACGATGATTCGGCTCAAGAAATAGATGCTCAGATGAGGAAACTTACTCGCATTTCAGTACATTGATTTTTTTAATTTGTGTATTGAAAATATAAATGACAATAAATTTAGTAAAAATTATTTTTTTTTTAATGTTTTAAGGCTTTGTTTCAATGAAAGAAAATTGATTAACTGTTTAGTATTCTTGTTTTAGGAACAAATTGCTCAGCTGAAATCAAAAATGGCATCAAATGCCAAGGAGTGCGAGGAAAGGAATCGTCAGCTGAAAGAAGTATGTATTTTACATGCAACTAGTACTTTAACAAAAGTTATAGCTAGATAATTTAAAAGTAATTGTTTTTATATGTTCATGATAAAATTCAACAAATAAACTTTATTATATTTCTTTGATAAAAAACTGTCATGGCAAACTTATCATCTTTAGAAAGATGTTCATCATTTACCTAAAAGATAATGTCATTTTTTTCTGTCTTAATTGTATATTTTAGGAAAGAGAGAAGATGTTGGCACATTTCCAGCATTTAAAATCCCAAATGAATAAGATGAGAGATGGAGAGAGAGACAAGCTCACTAAACTTACCCTAGAGAGTAACTCAGCCATTAAAGAACTTAAAAGACGTATAGAAAAGGTGACACCTTCAAACAGTTAGCAAGGGTATACAGTCCAATTGAATTAAACAATTTTTCAAACTGAAGTTTTCTAACGTGTTTTCTCTTACAGTTACAAAGCATAATAAAATTGGGTGAGATGAGTCGTAAATTTGAGACGGAGGAAGAAAAAGTTCTGCCATTTTATGCCTCATCCTTGACTCAGGAGGAGCAAAATGATGTAAATACTGCCATATTGGAAAAACCAAATGAGGAACTAGTGACCGTAAGTCTATGTAAAATCACTGAGTGACTGTGACAATTTTCTATTGCTAAGCAATATACTTAGAACATTTTCCTTTTCAAAGTTGCAAATAAATGCTATAATATTTCCATGGCTGATTTATTGGCTGTGCCACTACGTCAAGAGAACAGCATTATCACATATACTGAAATAAAAACAACAACAACAAATTGCATGCACGCATTTAAGGTATAAAATTGAAAAAGTGGAATTCATTTTCAGGTAATGCATGAGTATAGTGCTCTGGAAAATTTCTGGAAGAGGTACAACAAAGTAAGTTTGGATAAATTGGCTTTAGACAAGGAGAAACAGGGCCTGATGGTAGAAAATCAACAGCTGAGGACGCTACTGAAACAATACTTAGATGGCATCTCAGTCAACGACGAAATCCTCTCACAAGTCAACCCACTCTTTATTGTCAACAACAAGACAAATGTCAAGTAAGTCAATCATATAAAGCAGAACATTTTATAAATGCCATGGAATTTTGTTAAGAGTTTGTTGGCAAGATTTTCTATATAGTTTTTTTGGTTCAGGTTTCAAAAAACTTTTTAAATTTTTTTTTTTTTTCCAAATTTTTTTGTAAATACATGTATCTTTTCCTTACATGTATGGTTATTTACAGATTGAATGTTCCTGTAACAGACCCTCGAATTCGACGTCCTGTCGCTCAGACTGTCATCGAAGCTTCGCACGCTGTCAAAAATATCCTGCCTTCCTGAAAATCTTGGTCCTCAGTTTTTATTATACAACTCAGAAATATAGCACCTACACACTTATTTACCAGTGTTGGTGTACTTATTAACTTAAGTGTTTTAAATTCTGTTTTGTTTACAAGGAATTCTTAGTGTTTTACTTCAAGTATGTATACTTTATAATCTACTAAGAAGAAGACCAGTGGTTTTTGCACCGAAGTATTCCATAAGTATTAAGATAACGATCAAAAATTAACTAATGTGTTCATTAATTATATAAGAATCTATACTGTAGACTAATGGTTAACTTGCATAATACCCTTGCCGCTGTGATGACACAGAGCATTCAATCAGTATTCAGTAGAAATGTTAGAATTCCAGCATAATTTATTGTACACAGTATTTTAGTTATATTTCACAGTGCCAAATATCAGACATGCACTATATTGATCTGAAGTATTTTTGTATTGTTTTACTGTAGATTTTTTGAAATATTATTTATATTTTGCACATATATAAGCTTTAATATGGGTATCCCATATATTTAAGTTGAGAGAATTTTAAAAATCTTCAAAACATATCTCATTTGAATAGAACTGAACTGGCTTATTTTGAAGAGCTTTTTTCAAAGATGATCACAACTATTGTTTTTTTTTTGTGTGTTTTTTTTTTGTTTTTTTTTAAGAGTGGATATTTTTCCCTGATGCTTTAATATAAAACCTTGCCACTGCTCGAGTTTGATTGCCATATATCAACTGTGTTGGAACTATCTTGCCGCTGTTTACTCTACAAGTGTGCTAGTTTGTGTTATGATCTACATCTGTGTTGTTTATTTTAACTTTTTACATGTCTTTTTTGTTGTGTATCTGTTTTGTTGTGGTTTTATACTTTTTTCATTTACTACAATATCACCTATTAACATAAATCTAATAAAAAGAATATTCCATTTTATTTTTGCAATTCATTATTCTTAGAAACTCTTGGGAAACTGTTGCTGATTTTTAATAAAATTACATGTAATTTGACTGAAGTTTAGACCATCTAGTCCTAGTTAGAATAATCTAACTGTGTCTCGGGACAGGCCCTCACGGTTAAACCAGGTCCGTAGGACATTTATCATTTTAACGATAGAACATTCTATCTACCTGGTTTTATACTGCAGAGAAATAGACTGAGCTAACTAAGACATCATAGAAAAATAAAAAAAAAAAGGCCCATGGGCCACAACACTCACCTGAATTTTGCCTTGCTATTCTGCAGAAAATTTGTAAAAGATTTTTGTAGTCCCTTGAAAAATTGTGTCCCCGTATTATGGCCCCATTCTAACTCTAAGGGTCTCTGAATCCACACACCATGGGAATGCTTCAATCTCAATATGACTACGTTTTCTCTGGAAGCTTCCACAGTAAGTTCTTGCAGAATAACCAGCCTAGACAATAAAGACCAAAAAACAACATAAGTTTTTGATTGGTATCTGCTATTTCTTGTGAGAACTGCTTATGACCATTAAGATCTGCTTCCCAGTTGAGCCAGCTTCACTGGCAGTACCCAACAATTCACCTCCTTCCACTCCACCACCAGAATTCTACTCACCTGTCCTTATAAAATTGACAAACTTCAGACTTCCTTCACTCTCCTTTGGTTTCTTCCTTCCTTTTTTCTAGCATGTCTGCAAGAACAGATAGAACTTTATCATGTCTCCATGTCTTCCATCTCTCAAAACTACTGGGCATGAAGACAGTCAATGTGTCCCAGGTTAGCTGATCTACCACAAAGTTTGCAGTTTGGGTCATTCCTTATGTACCATGTTGCCAAATTGGTTAGGGTGGGCAACACATCAAAAACAGACTTAGATGGGATTGAAGTCGCCTCTGGAACTTTGTGGTCCAGATGTCATTCCAAGATAAAATGCTTCCCAGTTGAGCCAGCTTCCCTGCTTCTTCATGCCAATTGCCTTCTCCATATTTGCATGTTCCTCCATTTCGTGAACCTCCTTCTGTACCAAATGCCTTTTCTCCACATTGGAGCTTGTACCACACCTCACTGTTGATGTTACACCTACCCCTTGATTGCCTTTTCCTATACTTCCTATGATCTCACCATGCCTCAGGCAAGCCGCATGAATCTGCCTCTTGCACTGTGTTCTAGATTGGCTGACCATTTTTTGCCAGTCTGATTGTTCAGTCTTGCCTTTTGTACCTTGGCATCTGTGCTGAGTCGCAGCATCAGAAACTGTCTAACTTTGGTGCCCCATCCTCCCCCACTTTTTCTGAGTAGAGTATCTTGCTCTAGTAAATTTTTCTTTAGATGCTGGTTGACCCCCTCCCCCCACACTTTTTGATGTTCCAGGATTTGGACCCCCTCCCCCACCTTTGAAACCGTTGCTATGGGTCTTTTGGAATAATAATAATTTGTATCACCTTCAGGTCGTTTAATTTTGACAAAATACGTTTCTGACTAATCACATAAATTCCACAGGCCACAGGTGCTAGGGACACCCCCCTCCCCCTGCGTTCCGTACTTCGACTTTTTTTTATAAGATATTTTTCTATGACACATTCACAAAGTATTACAATTGAGAAATTCAAAAGATAATATAAAATTAACCTTATAAAAAACGACACTCTCCGATACTAAAAGTATCCTTGGGGCACGGAACGCGGGGGGGGGGGATCCAGTCCCCTCCTACCTGTAACAAATTCAAGAGTTAATATTCATTCCAGAGAAAAATTATGAAATCTCTTTCCAAATTGTGTTTTTAAATTGGATTTTTTTTCTCAAACAGCTGTCAGAAGTATTTACAAATGACAGCATTTGCAGCTTACCCGCAACGCTAAACATTGCTACTATACAATCCGGATATTGTTTGTCTGACCGTTGTTGATTTCCTAATTTTAGATCTACTGGAACTCTTTTGTCTACAAAAATAAAGAAAGGAATCGTTGACAGGCCTGTTCCACTTTCGTCTCTCGTGCTGAACTCGGAAATTGTAAAATTACAGATGTTTTCCAATGTCTGAGTCGATATCTTTGGTAGTCTTACGACTCGAAATCGAGACTGGATTTCCCCTCACCACAGATTTGGAGTATAGAGGTATTTAAACTCTCAATACCATGAACAGCTGATTAATCAGGACTACAGCTGCAGGCATGCTATGTGGAAGTTATTGAACGACAAGACGTTTCTTAACAGGACCATTGTTAGGTTTCAGAAAAGAGGGTGCGGGAGGGATACCCCCTTCTCAGAGTTCGATTTTTTTTTAAGAAATAGGCATCATGGTGGGTCCTTGTGCATCGTTGAAGACTTTTTACAGGTCCAGCACAATCTCTTGATTTAGCTGTATAGCTTGAATTAGCTAATAGCTTTATTTAGCTATTTAGAATAGCTTGATAATATTAGTTATCCAGGTCCAATCAAGGGTGTACGGAAATTTACCCCGGGTTTTATTCCATGCACCCTGACGCCGAAGGCCGAAGAGTGTATGGAATTCATACAACCCGGCGTAAATCCCTGTACACCCTTGATTGGACCTGGATAACAAATTTATTTCCTATGTACCCAAATAATTTCTTTGTAATAAAGTCCAATCAACTGTGTTTCAAGGTATCGATAAGATTTACTACGTCCTACAATGCATTGTGACGTCATGTTATTTGCTTTTTATCATAGAGAAACTATGCGTTGTGATGTCACATTTTTTTTACCCCCGGCTCAAGTCGGGTGTATGGAAATTTATACCCATCTTTGTAACCAATCAATGCTTGTGTTACAAGTTACATAGGAAATACAGCTATTTATATACAGTTTTTCACGAAAATGTATTTTGGAAGAAATAAACAAAAAGTTCCTAGTATTTGACTATTTATATATACTATGGACTATCAAAAAAGCAGCCCAAATCAAAGATAGTTCTAACATTGTAGCTTTCAAATACTTTTAAGCAAAAGATGTATTTCCATTGTTTGGATAACTGTACACCACCTTGTGTACGTTGAGGCATGGATAAGTATGATTGCTTCACATTGTGCTGAATTATTATCAATCAGTTATCTTGTTGACCATAATTGATGTCCTTAAAATTTCATTCAAGAAGTGACTGTGTGGTCACAAATCAATTGCTTTATATAGCCCCAAAACTTTTAGAACTTTGCGTTCAAAGTCTCGCAAGAGGATGCAATTAGAGCGATTTTTACATGCATTGTTTTCAGAAGAGTTCAAGGTTGAATACTATCAGTGCACCAAGGTGCAATGTGGCAACGCACTTTGAAAAAATTATGCACTTTGAAAAAAATTTTCAAAGTGCGTTAATTTTGGGACAAAATCAACGCACTTTGAAAAAAATTTTCAAAGTGCATTGAATTTGGAACAAAATCAACGCACTTTGAAATTTTTTTTCAAAGTGCGTTAAGAGTGTACATAATAATTTTTTACCATGTACACACTTAACGCACTTTGAAAAAAAATGTGTATAAAACAAAAATTTTGGACTTAAATTTTAGTAATAGACAACATTATTATCCCCTCGCAACGTTTGAGGGGATATAGTAATGCGATTATGTGTGTAAGTGTGTGTGTTAGTTTTTCCTGTGCGAAACAGAAGTGACGTAATTTGCATCGAGATCACTATCATATTCGATATGAACATACGCTAGACTGATTAATTTGATAGTAATAAAATAAAAGATTAGCCACAATACTCATTTGACTGGAACTTTTACAAGGGCACCGCAAAGCGGAGCATTCCTTCCCAAAAAGCATATTCTATAAATCAAGGCAGCATTTATATATATATAGAGAGAGAGAGAGAGAGAGTTTTCATGGTAGAGAAAAATCCATTTAAGTCTTTTTCCATTTAAGTCATATCCACCGAACTTATTACAGACTGAATTAAAATAAAAAAGGAAAGAAATTATGCTATTAAACAATCATTTCTAAAAGACCAATTTCCCTTTTATAAAATTTACGAGAACTGTTGGAAAGAAAACACTCCTAAAAATCTTTAAAACGTGTATATCTCAGATCCTGAAGTGACATCATCACTGAAAAAGTATTAAATCAGGTTCAAATAATTATTTATCATACCTAAAATTTGCAAGAATATTGACCAAGCCATGCAAAGTTTTTTTTTCAAAGTGCGTTAATATGGTCGATATTAACGCACTTTGAAAAAAAAAATGAAATTTTTCAAAGTGCGTTAACGAGGTCCCAAAATTAACACACTTTGAAATTTTTTTTTCAAAGTGCGTAATTTTTTAAAGTGCGTTGTAACAGTGCAACTTTCTGTACGTGCTGAAAAAATAACACATTTAAGAAAAAAGTGTGATAAAATATGTATGCTAAATCAATTCTGAATAGCTTTAAAAATCTACATAGCGTATTCAAGCTATATAGCTAAATCAAGAGATTGTGCCAGACCTGTTTTAAGCATAACCTATATTAACAAAATAGAGCAGCATTACTTTAAATATGAATAATGAGTCATTTTTTTTTTCAAATATTATGTTTTCAAGTTTTTTTAAATTCAAAGTGGTGTGTGATCAAACCCAATGCACCCCCAGTTCTGAGGGCCTTGCTTAAGACCATCATAAGAACAAACACTAATCTTAAAAATCTCATTTTAATCTGGAGGAAATTATCAGTATTCTCCAAACCCAATGACATTGTTGAGCATATTCTAAGAACATCTCTCTTTATAAAAACTTTTCAACCCTTTAAAAAACATTCTGCAGTATAAATTTTGACTTCATAGACAGCTGCTAAAATGGAACTTAGACATTTTCACTACAAATTAACTGTTAAGATTCATTCTGATTCTATACACGAGTACAGCTGTACTCTGAAGTTGATATTAAAAATATGCTGGAGTTCCTCATTGACTATGCCTATAAAGTCTTTGGAGACCAAATCTTTGAACAATCTGATGGAATTTCAATGTTCTCCTTTATAGCTGACCTGTTTATGTATTTTAAGAAAGAGAATTCATACAAAAACTTCTACATGAAAAGAAGAAAACTCGCTGTGGCTTTCAATTTGACATTTAGATTCTGATATATTGACAATGTTTCACCAACCATTAACAGTATTTACTTTTAGGCCACATAAACTTAATGTTTAGATCCTCACCTTAATTTGCTTAAAAATTGGGAAGGATGAGCAGATTTTATTTTTTTATTTTTTATTACTGTAAACATCTGCATAATGATCTTCTTATACAAAATTTTCACTTTGTAAATGCCAATATGGAAAGATTTGATTGCTTCTTCTTTAAAATGTATTCAAAAGATTCTTTTTATATTAAATATTTATCACATATTGTAATAATGATTTTATGAGAACATTTATACATGCCATACATAAGTGCTACTACATGTATGAAATTGGGTGTGGATCCAAATAATTTTGTACATGCTGTTGCTTTACATGTTATTCAACACTTCTCATTGGCCTTTTTCCTTAATATTTTTTGTTTGACGAACAAATGCTTGACTGTGTGTTTTGTCTGAAAATATCACATATGACTGTACCACTGTCCTTACAATGGCCTAAAACCCTAGAAATAATTGTTGCAGTTGTGAAATTCTTTGAATGGGTAATGATTGCCCCTACTTATTTGTCATCAATTTATAAGTTGATTTTTAAAAAATCTGTCATTATATTTGGTTTATTAAAAAATCAAAGAGCATTTTTGTGTATCCAAGATATCTTTCTCACAAAACTTGTTTTTTTTTGGTAACATCTCCAGTCTTTGTGTGTTTGTGTTTCAGGCACTGAATTCATTCATGTGTTTTATTGTCTTTCAGTCTCAAAACTTAAGGTTGTCAATCCACTGTTCATTTGTATAAAATTTTGTTTAAACTCTAATGATTTTCCACAAGTAATTAAAAATTGCCATCTGGGGCAAAATTTGACAGAAATAGCCTTTTGACATTTTTTAATAAAGAAATGAAATTCATTTATTCCATTGAGAGTTATCTCTCTTATCAGAGGGTCAGTGAACCTTGAATTCGATAGAATTTCTCAGCGCATATGAAACGGCAAACTAAAGTCATGATCTAAGTGCCTTTTAATAAAAATACTTCTCTAGCACCAGATTTTGAAGTATTTGGTGAGAGGGAGGTAGCAAAACTCAGAACCAGCTACGCTGAAGCAGCTTGCAGTTCCAAAAAGGATTTTTCACAAGACCTGCTGATTCAGAAGTGCAGAGGAGAGAGGATATTGACAGATCTGACAATAGAGACTTATTTAAATGGTTTGTCAATTTATAAAATCATTGTCATAATTTTAATGTAAATTAAAAAGGGAATATCTATGTACAATGAGTAGATAAAGTACATTCAAGCATAACATCTTATAGTTTGATAAAAGTTTGCTGCATTTTAATTTTAAAATGCTCCTTATTTTTAGACATGAATAACCAAGCAGATAAAAACTGGAACCCTCCCATGGAAAAGAACAATTCAGAAACTAAACCGAAGAACCCAGAAATTGGTGCATTTTCGCGGGAAGGCTCTATAACATCTAATGCCTCAACGTCCAGTGGAGAAAAAGCAGCATCAAAGGAGGTGTGTTTCCAGCCTATTGATGATAGCGATGACAGCCCCATGCCAAGTCAGAGGGGGGAAAGGCCACACAGTGGGGGAAGGATGAAGAGCAGTCCCCATGATTCCCCCACAATACAATTCTTCTCTGGAAACCCTATGGTTGAGAGGACATGTGGGATCTTACATCTGTACAAAGACAAGTAAGTCTTATAAACCAGTCAATGTGCACGGGTTATATATTATGTGTTTAGTTTAGATTATCAATTACCATCAGAAAGTTATACATTGTAAGTGCAATTATAGTTTATACATTTTATTGTAATTGTTTTCAGTGGTGTACAAAATAACATATGCTCACCAAAACCTCAAAATTACATGCTCCTATTATATTGACATTTTTGACAGTAAGAAGACATCATTGAAGGATGAAGTTCCTAGAAGTGAACTGATTTGTATGTTAGCTGTGCCAGCTGCATACACCATCCATGATCTGGTTAAATTCACTGCCCCTGTGGTGTAAGTACGCTCACACAAGACTGGCTGTCAATGATAAGTTGTCCAGATTCAGTTTGGAATGCATGACTTTGAATCTGCACCATACATATGTTTTCTGCTGTGTTATAGTGTAATGCCTATGTTGTAGTGAGGGCATTGAGTACATGAGAATTATCAGAGATTCCACTCCTAACCAGTATATGGTTCTAATTAAGTTCCACAATCAGAGACTGGCTGATGAATTCTTTAATACCTACAACAATGTGTCCTTCAACTCCATAGAACCAGACATTTGTCAGCTCATCTATGTAGCCAAGGTGGAAGTCATGAAGGACTCAGAGGTAGGATCAAGTACTTATCATATGCTAAGTAATTTACCAGATATTATCAGTGAAAATGAGGGGAGGGGGGGGGGTCATCTGATTTGATACAGTCCACCAATTTACCTGGTATTTTACCTGTGATTTTATGTTGAAAATGCTTTTGAATGCTTTTGAATTAAATTTAGTTTTTATGTGTTTGGAATAAAATGATCTTGAAATTTTTATTTTCAGGGAGCTTGTTTACCTGTGGCTGGTTTGACAGAGCTACCCAATTGTCCTGTGTGTCTGGACAGAATGGTACAAGAAGTTACTGCAATTAATCTTTAAGTAGAGTTACATTTGAAGGCATACACAATTGTTTGCAATTTGGTGTTCCCCAGAAAGCAAATATCTAATTTATTCTGTTACTACAAATGAAAAAATGCTTATCATTTGTCAGGTTGTTTACAGTTAAATTGTTTTGCAGGATGAATCTGTGGATGGCACCCCAGTATTAACAATTTTGTGCAATCACACATTTCATGTAAACTGTCTAGCAAAATGGGGTGACACCAGGTGGGTTTTAACTGATTAATGTTATTCTCACAATACCAATGTACATATATACATGTAAATCAGGAACATGAGTGAGACTTATATCTGTTTGAATTGTAGTTGTCCAGTTTGCCGGTACTGCCAGACACCCGAGGAAACAGCTGACCAGCGGTGTATGACCTGTGGTTCTCAGGAGGTCTGTAATACCTTTAAATACTGAAAATAAAACTTTGGTATTTAGTATTTACATGAAATCTGTCAGATTCTGAAGTAAACATGTTACAAAGATTGAAAGAATGTTTTCAGTTTTAGAAATTCTGCATTTAAAACTTGTTTAAAGTAATATGTACTTGTATATATTTTTCTTGTAGAGTTTATGGATTTGCTTGATTTGTGGGAACATTGGATGTGGAAGATATGTTGACCTACATGCATACAAGTAAGAGGCAAGCTTTATTCAAGGCAGTATGGTAATTTTGTTAATATATTGACGGTGCAACCGTTAGAGCGCAGATACCTATACATCCGTCTCTTCAAACCGCACGTGACATTTGGTACTTCAGTCTAGACTCTGACATCACATGACGTCATATGTAAGTTGCTTTACCAAATTGAAGCCTGAACAGTGCTAGTTATAATGAAGAATGTTTAATCTACTGTTTTTTTCTGCAATATCAATTAAATCAATGTAATTTTATTTTTTGTTGAACTTTTAATTGCTGCTACCGCGAGAACATGGTTTGTGGCAAAATGCAATTTGCAAAGCATTATGGGACCACAGGTTACTGCAGAAAAAAATTTGTTTGGATCAATGTGCAAAGTCCGAATTTTCTCTTCACCCAGGCGTTGCTTTATGAGCTCACAGTGATGAGCGACGCTTCGCGCTGCTCGATGCACTCACTATAAAAGTGTTGAAAGTGATTGAAAGTTATTGTTTTTTATTTTATTCTATTGTAGACACTTTCAAGAAACACAGCACACGTATGCCATGCAGTTAGGTAACAGTCGAGTGTGGGATTATGTTGGGGATAATTTTGTTCATCGTTTGGTTCAGAGTAAAGGTGATGGTAAACTGGTAGCTGTGGAGGACCAGCAAAGCTCAGAAATGGATGGCAAGGCTGATTCCCTTTCACTAGAGGTAAGAAGAGTTCAACATTTTAGCTTAACTTCTCAAACTCTGATTTTTAATGGACTCAAGATATGAGTTGCTTGAAATTCTGCAGAAAGTTTAACCAGTTATTGAGCCAAGTTTTTGAGCAAACAGTCTAGATGCCAGTCCAGGTGCCTTGACTCACAGAATTTGACTTAACTTCAAATTTACATGCAAATTAACATAATATTTTAAGGTAGTGATGTTTTTAGCTCACCTGAGCTGAAAGCTTAAGTGAGCTTTTCTGATCACCCATTGTCTGTCGTCCGTCCGTCCCTCTAGCTGTCCGTCTGTCCGTCCGTCTGTAAACTTTTCACATTTTCAACTTCTTCTCAAGAACCACTGGGCCAATTTTAACCAAACTTGGTACAAAGCATCCTTGGGTGAAGGGGAGTTTAAATTGTTGAATGAAGAGCCAAGTCTCCTTCAAAGGGGAGATAATCAAGATAATACAAAAATAGGGTGGGGTCATTAAAAAATCTTCTTCTCAAGAACCACAGGACCAGAAAAGCTGAACTTATGTGGAAGCATTCCAGGGTAGTGTAGATTCTAAATTGTTCAAATCATGAACCTCGTGGGGAAGGGCGGGGCCACAATAGGGAATCCAAGTTTTACATTGAAATATATAGTAAAAATATTTAAAAATCTTCTTCTCAAAAACCACTGGGCCAGAAAAGCTGAAACTTATTTGGAAGCATGCTGGGGTAGTGTAGATTCTAAATTGTTCAAATTATGACCCCCGGGGGCAGGGCGGGGCCACAATAGGGAATCCAAGGTTTACATTGAAATATATAGTAAAAATCTTTAAAAATCTTCTTCTCAAGAACCACTGGGCCAGAAAGGCTGAAACTTATATGGAAGTATCCTGGGGTAGTGTAGATTCTAAATTGTTCAAATCATGACCCCCAAGGGTAGGGCGGGGCCACAATAGGGAATCCAAGGTTTACATTGAAATATATAGTAAAAATCTTTAAAAATCTTCTTCTCAAGAACCACTGGGCCAGAGAGGCTTAAACTTATGTGGAAGCATACTGGGGTAGTGTAAATTCTAAATTGTTCAAATCATGACCCCGGGGGATAGGGCGGGAAGGCGGGGCTACAATAGGGAATCCAAGTCTTACATTGAAATATGTAGTAAAAATCTTTAAAAATCTTCTTCTTAAGAACCACTCGGCCAGAAAGGCTGAAACTTATATGGAAGCATCCTGGGGTAGTGTAGATTCTAAATTGTTCAAATCGTGACCCCCGGGGGTAGGGCGGGGCCACAATAGGGAATCAAAGTTTTACATTGAGATATGTAGTAAAAATCTTTAAAAATCTTCTTCTCAAGAACCACTGGGCCAGAAAAGCTGAAACTAATGTGGAAGCATTCTGGGGTAGTGTAGATTCTAAATTGTTCAAATCATGACCCCTGGGGATAGGGCGGGGCCACAATAGGGAATCCAAGTTTTACATTAAAATATGCAGAAAATATCTTTAAAAATCTTCTTCTCAAGAACCACTGGGCCAGAAAAGCTGAAACTTATGTGGAAGCATCCTGGGGTAGTGTAGATTCTAAATTGTTCAAATCATGACCCCTGGGGGTAGGGCGGGGCCACAATAAATGCTACAAAGGGGGGGGGGGAGAGAAATCAAGTTAAAAACAGCAAGGCCACAGTTACTCAGGTGAGCGTTGTGGCCCATGGGCCTCTTGTTATATTTAGTGATATGTATATCTTTGCTAAAGGATATGATTTTATTTTAAAAGTAAATCAATTCAATATGCCTTTACATGTATATGTACATAAGTATATGTAAATATATTGTGCAATGGTAAATGATTCTCAGATGATTTTGTTCTACTGATTATTGATTAAAACATCTGGTTTACTATTTAGTACACGTATCTCTTGACAAGTCAACTTGAACAACAACGGAAATATTTTGAGCAGAAAATGGCACAAGTGGAGAAGAGTGCTCAAGAAAGAGTAAGATGTTTTATAATCTTGTGACATAGAATACAACTATGGAATACTCATTGATATTCAAAGTGAGGTAAAGGTGTTTAAATCTCTATTGATCTTTAGAGTCTCATAAAGTGTCTATCGGCCCGAGACCGACAAATAACCGGGAGGGTCATTAAAGTTTAAATGTAGTCTGCCTGTTGTGCCGGTAAAAAAAATCTTGTTAAGTTTATACAAAAGAACACCACCAAAACCTGTCCAAAGAAAGTAGGACAAATGTATAATTTCCGAAGAAATTGTTTGAAACATCTATTTGCATGACTTCAATGCCAATCTTTTTACAATATTTGCAAGACGGCCGTGCTACAGATATTTTCCACTGGAAAGAGAGAAAAATCCAAGTCTATACCATCGCTGATGTCGAGACATAATATAATATAACATGTACATGTATAACAAATATAAACACTACACTAAGATTAGTATTAAATGTTTTAAAATATGTATCGCCCCCATATCAACCCGAGACTTAATATCAGCCCGAGGCCAAAAACTAAAGGGCTGATATTGGTATTGGGCTGATATTGGTAGTGGGCTGATATTGGTAGAGGGCTGATATTGGAGGTGGGCTGATATTGGAGGTGGGCTGATATTGGTATTGGGCTGATATTGGTAGTGGGCTGATATTGGTAGAGGGCTGATATTGGTAGTGGGATGATATTGATAGAGGGCTGATATTGGAGTTGGGCTGATATTGGAGTTGGGCTGATATTGGTAGAGGGCTGATATTGGTAGAGGGCTGATGTTGGTAGTGGGTTGATATTGGTAGAGGGCTGATATTGGTAGAGGACAGATATTGGTAGAGGGCTGATATTGGTAGAGGGCAGATATTGGTAGTGGGCTGATATTGGTAGAGGGCTGATATTGGTAGAGGGCAGATATTTGTAGAGGACTGATATTGGTAGAGGGCAGATATTGGAGGTGGGCTGATATTGGTAGTGGGCTGATGTTGGTAGTGGACTGATGTTGGTAGAGGGCAGATGTTGGTAGAGGGCAGATATTGGTAGGGGGTTGATATTGGTAGAGGGCTGATATTGGTAGAGGGCTGATATTGGTAGTGGGCTGATATTGGTAGTGGGCTGATGTTGGTAGAGGGCGGATATTGATAGAGGGTTGATATAGGTAGAGGGCTGATATTAGTAGTGGGCAGATATTGGTAGAGGGCTGATATTGGTAGAGGGCTGATATTGGTAGTGGGCTGATATGGGATGTGATACAGAATGTGGCCTGTATTGTTGTTTTTAATATATATTTGAAAATAATGCCTTCCCATTTACTACACAATCTACAAAATTTAGGCTACATACTCAAAGATCAAGGTCAAAACTGTTGATTAAAGCATGCTGGAGGCCCTGTAGTACTTGGTTAGTTTTCTATTTCTGGCATTATTTTCAGGCTGACATCTTAGATGTGAAATATAAAGCCGCTACAGAAGATTTAGAGAAAGTAAAAGTTGAACAACAAGCTTTAAATAAGGAGAAACAAGCTGTGGAAAAAAAGTGTTCACATGTAAGTAACTAGCAAAGTTTATATCAATGAAGAAGAACTATAAATAGATGTACAAAGTTAATAGCAATAAAGAAGTACTAAAAATAAATGTACAAAGTTTATATAAGAGAAGAAGTGCTACAAATAGATGTACAAAGTTTATATCAATGAAGAAGTACATGTACTATCAATAGATGTTCAAAGTTTGTATGAATGAAGTACTGTAAATAGGTGTACATGTACAAAGTTTATAGCAATGAAGAAGTACTATAAATAGATGTACAAAGGTTATATTTATGTAGTGAATCTAGAAAAAAACAGAAGTTACTTAAATTTACCTAGATTTATATATACAAAGATATTAATGTAAATGTGAACATTATTTTTTTGATTTTACGTACCAGCTCCACAGTCGACTGACTTCAGCTCTGAAGGATCTACAAGAGGAAAAACAAATGAACAAGTGTCTGTTAGAGAACCAGCAGGTCTGGCAGAAAAAGGTCACAATGTTAGAGAGTCAGGTCCAGGACCTCTCACAAAACAAGGAGCAGGTAATCCTCAATAGCCTTTTCTGTCATATTATTCTTTTTTCCTTTATCTAAATGCATAAAATTAAGACTCAAAATCTGTTTTAAAGGACAAGATAGGCTAAGACCCCTTTTTGGCCCCTGGTTTGGCGTGTCTTTTAGAATGATGCAATAGTTTATCAATAAAAACCTGTTGTCACCCCTGTCACAGAATGAATCTTGGATCTAAGTTATGGGATACACAGAGGTCACAGGAAGGTCAGAAAATGTCAATTTCCGAATTTTCCCATTTTTCTGCAAATTTTCATCGATTTTACAGCACATTTTGTTTAGAAACAGAAAACATAGAGCACAAGCTTGCCTATCTATGAAATTTATATATTTCATACACTAGTTTCAGATGTATCTTATGTATAAAAATCTCAGATAGGCAAGCTTGTGCTCTATGTTTCCTGAAGTGAAAAGTATCTCAAATTTGACGAAATTCCACCAGAATTGAGGAAATTCGGGAAAATGTCCTACTTCTGCACCCTCTTGTGGCCTCCGTGTAAGCTTTGAATCAAAATTAGTGCTGGTTTTAAAACAAGCATCATTTTAAGTTCTTAACTACAAACTATCACAATTTTAACTGTGTTCTGATTTTTACATCAAATAAGGGGCCAGATTCAGCCATTACCATACCTTGTCCTTTGGCATGATTTACCAAAGTCATATGATAAAGGTCTTCCTGACTACTGTATACAGGGAAATTTTTGCCTCCGTTTTATTTTCGCCCCTTCCGCCCTAGACACAAAGGGGTGAATTTAAGACGGGGCGAATTCAAAGAAGACAGTATAATTTCTTAAATAGAACTGTGACTGGGTGAATTTAAAACGGGGCAAAATTGTATGCAAGTGTGAAAGGGCGAAAATAACCCTGTATACAGTATCTGTAGGCCAGAATGCATCTTGATGGGTTAGTTGTATATAATACACGTATTACTTCAGAAAACGATTCTATTTCTTTGGTTTTTAAGGAAATTCAGGAGTTGAGGGACCAGTTACGAGATGTGATGTTTTACATGGAAGCTCAACAGAAGTTGTCTGAGACTTCAGAAGTTTCCCAGACAGAACTAGAACAGAGTCATGTCATTGTCGGTGCTTCTGGAAACAGTCCCTCCCCTCGCTCCAAAAAAGGCAGGAAAAAGGAAAGGTGAAGCAGGTGCCCACCAAAGAAAAACAAGTCCTTCATTTTCCTGCAATATTTCTCTGTGATGTGATGCCATTGCAATATTTCTCTGTGATGCCCTTACTGAAAAAAAAAATATCTCAAGGAGCAGAATCTTTCTACCATTTTTCTGTAGACTGTGCAGAAATTGCTTCATATACTGTACATGTATGATAACACAGGGAGCAGATTTTATTTGAATTGTTCAAGCTTGAGGTTACTTTTTATTGCTGATTACTGATCAAAGATTTGAGAATCAGAACACTTTTTGTCCACTAGACAGCTTTGTTGTCGTTTTTATTTCTGTATGTCAGTATTTGAATTGTACATCAGTGTAGTATTTTATTGCAAGACTGTTTGCCTGGAGCAAAGAGATATCCTGCCAAATAGAGTCTGTGATTGATATGATTAAAAAAAAATCATCTTTGTCATTATCTTAAAGTTTTATTGCAAACAAAAGCAACTAGATGTTTTTTGATTTGGAAAAAAAAGTGGGTGTATCCCCTCCTTCCCAAATTTTACTGTTGACCATCACTAAATCTGGACAACATGATGTCAATCTGTAAGAATATGACCTTTAGCCAAGGCCATGTCTAACCTCTACATGATATAAGGAACAACATACTCAAGTTAAAGGGTCACACCTCCTTCCAAGGGTAGGTACATGTAATTTAGAAACAGTAAAAATTGGGTATGGTCATTTAAAAATCTTGTCAAGAACCACTGATCCAAATGTGAAAGCTTCCTAACAGAGTGTAGATTCAAGTTTGTTCAAATTATGACCCCCTGGGTAGGTTGGAGCCACTATATAGGAAAAACATCTTTTTCTCAAGAAGAGCAAGGCCACAGTAAGTTCATATTTTTAAGTTTTAATCAAGCATTGAAATTATTTTTTGAAAGACAGTGTCATACCTGCAACAGTATGTGCAAACAAATTGATTAACACGTGTTAGCGGGACATTGGATAATCCTTGAACTTCTATTAAGAGGTATGAATCAGGGTCTGATATACGTTTATTAAGGAATCACTGTCTAGTTTGTTGGGTATGCCAGGGCATCAACGATAGTTGGAAAGGTGGGATAATTTGCATAACTGGTAAAGCTGGTTATGCATAAAATATCCCATGTTTCCAACTATCATTGATGTCCCTGGTAATATACCCAACAAACTAGACAGTGATTCTTTATATTTACATGTATATGTGAAATAAACTTGTAAATATAAATTAAAATGCTGTCTAATAGATTTTAAATACACAAGGCCTCACAAGTTAATTTCAGTAGTCTCCACCCACTGACATATCGGACACGAATACAGCCGCACGAGATTGACAAGCATATTAGACTCCTGACCTTTCATCTGGTGAAATTAACATTCCGGTTGGATTATCAAGAAATCAACTCACCATAACTTTCAAAGAGTTATCTCGGAGAAAACAATTAGAAATGGAAATATTATTGTATTATTCCAGCATTTCCATATCGTTTCCCATATGGACAGAGACATCCCCTGCTTAATACCATACTGAATGATAATTTGGTGTGCCACATAATCACCTGATGTCTCTAGTTTTAGAAATATCTAATGGAAAGAGCTTGTACATTTAACGTCATAAAATTGCCATTTTTGAAGTCAAACTTGTTGTCAATGTAAATTTTATTCCATTATATTTTTGTGTAATCTGGTAAGTAAAACATGGCTTACAATGCTGTTCTTTAAAAGTGAAAAAAAAGACCACCTGTTTCTGATTTCCTTTAAATGCCATTTTCATATACAAATGATATTACAACCTTGTTCTATTATGTCAAAATATCATTTCCCAACGTTGCACAAAAAATGAATAATTTTGGTCAGGTACTTTACAAGATATTTAAAAAGTTTGCACTTTTCCTGGGACAGCCCTTCAAGTAACCTCTGTGTCAAGTACAAGCTTCCAATGTTTATTATGAAGTCATAGTCCAGGCAAGATTGCATGGACAGACAAGGTGATTCCTTCATATCCCCAAAACTTTGTTTGCAGGAGTACTGTATACAAGGAAATTTTTGCCCCGTTTTATTTTCGCCATAGACACAAATGAACGAATTTAAGATATAGGGCTAATTCAAAGAAAAAAGTATAATTTCTTAACAAAACTGTGACTGGGCGCAATTAAAATGAGGCGAAATTGTTTGCGTGATAGGGCGAAAATAACACAGTGCGAAAATAATCCTATTTACATTATGATGAATAATTCAAACTTATAGTATGATGTCATCTGTAACCTTAAAGCTGAACACGACTCGTAAATAGGCATACACCATTTTCTATAATACTATCTACGATAGCAGCACCGGGGTATACCCTTCACATTCATTACACCTGCTTTCTCGTCACGGGTATCGGAGTGGAATGGTGACACGTGTTCGTGCTGGTTATCTTGCATTACTTTTGTTTACATTTTATTGCATTTGTTTTTGTTTGTGTGCTGCATTGACCTGTGCAACTGTTGTAAGTTTCTTTAGTATCTTACTCTCCTGCATTAGAAGAAGTAGTTATTTTTTGTCGCTACCGAGTACTGTATAGCATACGTCTGTCTACATTGGTAACGACTGATTACACTGAACAATGACTAAGTGAGCGGCTTCATATAGGAGCCCTCAGATATTGTGAGTGAACAATCAAATACGGCAGACAAATTCCTTTTACGAAGCATGTTCAGCTTTAATGTGTCATACACTTTGTTTCAGACATGCCACAAAGGCGAGGGTTACAGGGTGATCAAATGCTGAGGATATGCTGCAAATCCTCAATAAACTGCAACTCAAATTAGATTATTCTTCATCCTAATAATCTTACCTTCAGAACAACTACAGTATCTTGAAGGAAACTAACACAAGATTTCATTCTTTATTTCAGAAAAGCAATGAGATAAAATGAACATGAACCTCAAGCTCTTGGCTTACTTTCAAACTGAACATGACTAAACTGACAAATCTGTTGCCATAACAAAAAAAAATCTGAATATTTATAATTATTTTTTCTCATTAATATAAAATTACAAAACTTTACAACTGCAATGCAGAAATTAAACCAAATAACAGCAAATATGAATCCATTAGAAAGAAGTGAACTGAAATTCCTGGTGACACTTCTCACAGCCTCTGTGTTAAGGACCCATGGAAGATCATTTTATACACATGTACACATATTTTTGTCAAATAAAATGAGAAAAAGGCATTATAACTACAAAAATGTGATTTCAAAACATGCATTTCAAGCACATAAAATTCAGACATACACTCTTGTGACTGAAGGTTTAAAGATCATTAAAAAAAAAAACACTGATGTAAATTTCGTATATACACAAAAATAAGGAAACTTTAGCCAAAGGTCAAGGGTAGTGTAATTTTATCTCATAACTATCCTGATAAACAACATTTTGCAAGGTTTTAAATGTCTTCAACATCAAAACATTTACTTGACACGAAAACTTGATGATGATCTCTTTCTCCCAACACTGTCAACCTCACATAAGCCTCTTACATACATGGAGCTCTAATGCATCAAAATATTTAAATTATTTCCCAGCTTCAGCCTGGGAGCTGTAACATTTGGTCCACATGCTGAAATCCTGAATAACAAGACATAAATTATGTGTATCTTCAATTTTAAGAATTGAATGGTTTAAATGGTTGGTATGCAGATACTAAAAAAAGAGAAATTGGCAATTTGAATATAAATATTACCGGGTAAATGCTAAAATATTTTTCATACCTTGCAGAGTGAATTTATGTATTACCAGTTTGGATCATACACTGACCAGTATTTATTTAATTCTAAAACAAGTTAATACTCTAGAACTGCTATCATAATATGAAAACTGCTAAATCTTAAATAATGTTTTTCTTGAATGGTAGTCAAAATTCTTCATGAATGCTTGCAAGTAAATAAATTATTTTCATTTTAACACAAAAGACCTTTTAATAAAATGGTCAGTTGTTCCCAGTAAAGAAGGTGAATTCATCCTTGAGTTACCTTCTAAAGCACATCAAAAATGAAATGTACTTCTTCACCACATCACACATGGAAAAAAAATTAACATATACATGTAGGTACATGCAATATTAACAGATAAATGTAATTAGCACTATTAGAAAAATGTAAATAAACACTGAATCCAACATAAATGTACAACAAAAATCTTTGCTTATTTACAAGGCCAATCTACTTCTGCTCTTTGCCCAACATTTCATGTAAGTTCATGGATTCATTTTTTATTAGAATCAAATCATTTTTTTTCTTTCTCTCTTTTACAAAATATTAATTCATTGCCAAACACATCCAACTGAAAAATTCAAGAACCTTTCTACAGCAATAGTTTCCTAAAAAGTTTACAATTGTGGATAAAACGCTGTCAAAAAATGTTTTTTTTTTTTAAGGAGTGAATTGTGAAAACGTTGGATGTAATTAAGCTGCAAAGTACAAAAGTATATCATATTATAAATAACTGAGTATCTTACAGTGTAAATACAGTATAGTGAACATTTTAGACAGTTTGCCCATCATGTGCTATGATTGGTTATAAGTATACATGTAGTTGTATTAACACTAGCCACATTTATATAGCAAGAATACACAGTAAATTGCACCATATTATGAAAAAAATGTTTCTTCAAATACATGTAATATTTCAAATCACTAAAAAAAGACCTTAATATACATCTGAAGCAATACTGTCTTTATATAAATGAATATGAAATGCTTGGAAATGAGAAATGATATGCCACAAATATGAACTACAAGAGGTTTCTTTAAACAAAACCACAATATGCACATATTACAAACATAGTTTTATGAATTTTTATCAATAAAAATGCTTCCACATTTTTTTCACTACGAACATACATAGAACACTAAATACTCAAAAAGCAAAATATATATATTTACAACTATACAGAAGTGCAATAATTAACATAGGGTGGAAAGTGCAAAATTAATCAAACTCGGAAAAAAATATCTATATACTGTACATTTCTAACGTATCATCTGTTTCAACCAAAATCATTCGAATAAAAGAAATTAGCAAACTGACATTGTTCTATAAGGCTGATATGTATGTGAACATCCAGCACATAGGACCTTTAACACTGCACACAAAGTCAACAAATTTTGTATGTACATGGTATAGCAACAAGATTAGAACAACCAAAAAAATTACAGGAACAAAGACTAATAATAGTAACTTTATACAATATGTACAATGGATGACTTACAATGTATAACATTGACTTACAATATCAATCAGAAAAGGAACATTTCAAACAAGAAGAAAAAAAAACTTATTTACAATATCATATATGTATACATATGTACAAAAGTAGACAATCACAATATACTCTTCATTCCGTTGTTAGCTACACATACATATAGACTTTCTTAAAGTTCAAATTAGGAATCGTATCTCTGTTTAAAAAGCACACATTGGCAAAAGAAAATATCAAAAATAACGAAGACCAAATGAGCGAAATGTTGAAAATATCATACACTATACATGCACTTAATTCAAGCATTCTCTTTATGCACCAATCAATTTCATACATCATTTCATTCACCAGACAGCATCCATTCCCAGTATAACTATATATTTTGACTAGCTTGTAAGAATGAATCAATCTGTTCTAATTGTCCCATTAGTTAGACACAGCCTGTGTGTAGCGTTCTATTTCATCCACTGTCATCACTCTTTGTCCCTGGGTAGGAAGGGGAGGCATGTGGGGGAGAGGGGTTTTGAGGACATCTGTACCAAACCACTTCAGGAGATTTGGTTCATTGCCTTTATTGTTGTTTGGGGAAATCGGGCCATTTAGTACTGTGGAAAAAATATGCATGACATCATTAAATACATTATATAGTGTATATGAGGTCAGCTGTCAAAGTAATGTAAGCGGTCATTTGTACACATAGCTGTACACAAACTGTCATCCACTGTCCGGTTTTGTTCTACTAAACAGCCAATTAGGAGGTCGAGGAACATTTAAAATACAGATAATTGTTTCTTCAGCACATGAAATAAAACAAACCATGAAACAAGGTCAGAAAACTAATAACATAGAGATATATTTACATACATATGTCATTACAACCCACCTTGTTTTCCGGGAGTCAAGGTTCTGTTCATTATGGGAGTGTTAGTCATTGCCCTGGGAGCGGAACCAGATGCAGGGGGAGTGTAAACCCCTCTAATACCCTGTAATCTTGGATCCACCATCCGCTGATGCTGAGCTTGCATGGCCATTTGGTTCAGATGTGTTATCTGGTTCAATGTGTTAACTACAATGTTGAGTTCACATTGAATAACATCATTTACTAGATTATTGACTGATGTACAGATTTCGAAAACATTCAAGAGAAAACAAAACCAGGTGCCTCATGTTTTCTGACAAAATTAATATAAATGTAGTTCTCTTTTAATTTCTACTCCTTTTCTGACTTACCTCTAACTGTTGTTTGAGAGATGTTGCTTTGCATCATTTGCTGCATCAGTAAAGGGTTATGGGCCACACTAACAGGAGGCTGGAGGGGGAGTCTGCCAGTGATAGGGATCCCCATGGGAAGACCTTGTGGTGTCCCTACTGAGGGACGGGTCAAGGGGTTTGGTGAAATGACATGTCTCTGCTGTAAAGTACACGTAAGACATTAAATTCAGTACATGAACACAAAACACATCAAGATTAATGAAAGGAATTGCAATTTAAAAGACAAGGCAATTCAAAAACACATTTAACTTTAAATATTTCTCAACTTCTGAACCAAAATTCAAATCTTGCAAAGCAGACACATCTACATTTTAAAAATGTTTACTCTAATACGAAATTATCTCATGCACTCTCTTACTTAAGGTCAAAACAGAATAACCATAGATTATAACATTACTGTGATACCTGTAGAACTTTACTCAATTCTACACCAGAGGTGGAGATGGGTGTGGCACCTGACCCTACAATTGGACGCTGTGGGGGTGTCTGCAGGTCAGGCTTCACCATGTTAGGATTAGAGATCTGTGGACTTAAAATCTTGTTCAGCTGAGCATGGTTTTGTTGTGGAAGTGAAGAATTCACATTCATTCCTAAACAAAGACACAGATTATCATAAAATATATATATTTAATTTTCACACAAGTTCTGATTCACTTTCAAATACATGTATCTGTCTTATTTCGCAAAGCAGATTTTTAATACAAGATTTGTCCACTGACTAATTCTTTACTTTAAAAAGTTCTGAAACTTTGTTATGTCCTTACAAATTTTTGCTCGTATGTTTGTCATACCTTTAACTATTGGCCTTCCTGCAGCCTGCATGGTCACACTTGAAGATAACGGGGTGCCCATCACTGGTCTTGCCTGCTTCAGTCTGTCTGCAGCAAGCATTGCTTGGATAGCAGCCACCTGATCCACAGCTGTCATATGCTGCTGTACCTTTCAACAAACAAAGGAATTGGGTTAAAGAAGGTTTCCTTTCTGGTGAATAAAATTTTGCAACATTTTCTGAATAAAATGCTAAAAGCATTCAATAAGGTTATATGGTTGATTTCCTGCACTCATAATGCAACATCAACTTTACCTGATCAACAGAGTTGTTTCGGGAAAACTGTGGCGAGTTTTGATTGGCCAGTGAAGGAGGGCCACTCTGATTGGCCAGTGAAGGAGGAGGAATGCTAAGGTTTGGCATTTGATTGTGAGCATTGATGGAAGCTTGACTTGTGCCTGGGGATACAATGTTCTGTCCCATAGACATGGGTGGGTGACTAGAAGATTGAGAAACCTGGTTCTGTTGTTGCACTGTTCGGAAATTAAACACGTTATGATCCATTTTCTTGCCCTCATTACTTTGGTCTTTAAGGTCATCTGGCATTATTAACTGTTTAACAGGTGGGGTTCTTTTGTCACCTACATGTATAAAGACAAAATTGGCAAACAATTTTTTCAGTTTGGTATATAAAAAAGCTTTCATCTTTGCCTTTTAGGCAGAACTCAACATAAATGTCAAAGCCTAATGCACGATTTTTATATATGTACATTACCATCACTTCCATCGATTTTCTGACCATCTACTCTCTGTTTCTCTTTTTCACTAGCTTTGTCAGAGTGCATTTTTCTCATTACTGAAGTTGGCGTGAAAGATGCTGTGACAGATGGTTGCTATGAAAATAAATTTGAAATTTAAGTTATTGTTATACATGTAAATAGTTACAATAGACTATGGTACACCTTTAAATCCAAAGGTTAAAATTTGCACCTTAGAAGCAGACATTGACTGTGATGTGGGAGTGCTTTGGGGAACTGAGGATTGAGGGATAGATGAAGCTGAAGAAGTTCCACTTGGGGCTAAACAAGGGGATGCAGGACTAAGCTGCTGGCCAACCAGTGCCACTTTTCCTTGTGGAGCAGGAGGATTTGGGGACTTTCCTCTGTAAAAAGAAATCATAAAACTAAATTTTTTGAGACATACCTTCCTGTTTAAAAAACTTCCAATTAAGACTTTAACTTCCCTTTCACTTTTTTGATATGTATTTTTAACTGCCCCAAGTGTTATTACCTTTCTTGCTGTTTTTTGATGAATCTCTCTTTCTGATCCTCCAGTTGCTTTTTAAGGAGGGCAGTCTGCATAATGGCCTGTGTGTGGGCAATCAGCTCCTGGGGGCTTGGAACACGAGGCACCACAGGTGGTCTAATTGTGGCTGTACCAGTGGACTGAATAATAAGAGAGAAAAAGTGGTCTTTATACTGAAATGTAAATATTTAGCATCTATATGTGTATATATCTGACAGATAGCATTTACATGTGTATATATCTTACAGATAAGTTGGTAGCTGCCTGCATAGAAACAGGTGAGGTTTTTCCTGCTATTTGTGACGGGTGGATAGGTGAAGGGGCACTCAAATGCATTGGTGGCTGCTGACTGAACACTGAAATATTCAATATCATGGTATACAATAGTTTTGTATTTCTTTTTTGGTTGAATGCTTACTGTAAAGAAATATTTTTCCCTTAACAATAGAACTAGAGCAAAAACTACTGATTTAAAGAAAAGCCATCCTTACTGATGGGAGAGGGAACTCTTGGAGATCCTGGCTGGGCCAACAAAGTCTGCTGAATAAGTTGGGGAGAGGCTGCTCTTGGAGATGTGGTATTCTGCATCAAACCAATAACAGCTGCCTGGCCTGGGTGTGGGGCCAGGGGAGAGTGAACTGCCGGCACATTGTGAAGGGGCTGTGGTGGTTGTTGTGGGGGAGGGGTAGGTGTGGAGGGTTTGGTAATTATAGTAGGATTTTGCTTGATAAAATTGGCCAGTGCCTCAGAGCTGTTTGGATGCTTGGGCTGGGTGGCTCCTGCAGAGGGTGGGGTCTGCTGAAAGTTCTGTGGGGGTTGAGCTATTGGAGTTGACTGGTTGTTTATGTGAACACTTCCTCGCATGTGATTTAAAGTCTGCTGGCGAATCTGCAGCTGTTGCTCCTTATTTCGCAATAGAGCCTAAAGACAAATTCATTAAATCCATTTTTTTATATTAACAATGAATAGTCATTGAAAAATTGCCCTTTACATATCCAAACCCTGGTGCATTGAATTGTGAAATTTTCTGAACACAAAATAACAAAACATGTAACATAAATTTGTCAAATAGATGCAGTGTCTTTGCAAATAAGGGTTTAAGTTTACCTGGAGGAACTCGTTCTGCGCAACACTGCCAGGGGTGAGAGGTTGCTGTCCTGTGGGTGGCATATTGTTGGAGGGAGCAGGGGGTTGGCCAGAAAAGATAGGGGACATGGTTCGCTGATCAAGATTTCGTCCAACCTGAGAAGATTCAAGTGATGATCCAAAGATTAAAACACCATCATTTTATACATACATGTAAAATATACATCAACAAGTAAAGAAGGGGACGGGCTCTATCTGCACTTTAATATTGATACAGAGACACTTGTAAAATTCCTGTAATAGAAGTTGATGGTATGTATTTGCAAAACTCAACATTTACAGCAGAGACCAATTCCAGTTGTTTTTTTTTTTAACTTATACAACTGGTACTGATAAATTGTATCATTTCCAATGCAAAAATATTAGATTTTTCCCAATTATGAGACTTCAGGGTTGTCCTTAAGACCCAGGAGCTGGGCAATTTCTATAATACATTTATAATGATGTAATCTCCTTGTTATTCTGATATTCCCCCTCAACCCCATTAGGGGAGGAAACCCAAGACCCCCTTCTTTTTTTTAATGTCCCCTGCTATTACAAGTCTTATGGACAACCCTTTAATTCAAATGACAAGGAACAGACCATTTCACATCATAATTCTTTTAGTATGAAATGTTGTACTAGTTGACTAAATTTTTCACTTTCTCATAAATTGAAAGTAGAGATCAGTTGTAATATGGCTATACACGTGTTGTAGACAGCCTAGTGTCTGACATTATTGACAACTTAAAAACATATGGAATCAGTTTAATTTGTGTAGGTCAATGTTGGTAGGTAACCAAAATTTTAATGATTCGTGGGGAGGTAATTTCGTTGCGAACTCGTATAAACAGTTTCAGTGAAATTATGCATTAACAAACTCATCATTTGTGGGATTAACTTCGCAGGTAAAGGTTACCCACGGAATCCATGAATATTGGTCCCCCATAAGCAATGATGATTCCAGAGAAGTTGGATTTAGAAATATACGAAAGGTAAGTCATTCACTGATGTGAAAGAAAATTTCCAATTTTTCTATTTCCATTCTATTTTCCCCAATATAATGGGTACCATTCCCAATTGATAGAGAAAAAAACCCTGGATTCTTAGGACAGCTTAAACAACCCACTACATAATTAATTTATTCATAAACATGCCATGAACAGAAGAGAGTTTTTTTTGGCCAATCAGGGTCAGGAGATTTTTTTTTCTGGAATAGCCCTAAGCAAGGTCAGAGTGATGGTCAGAAAAACATGCCAACATATTCACTCGTTATAAACTCTGAAAGACTTGGTACAATTATTGAGCAATACGTACAATCTGTGGCAGTTTGGTGGGAGACTCCACTGCTGCAGCAGCCCCTGCCTGCATCAGACTCAGGAGTTTGTTAAAGGCAGCCAGATCATCCTGTTGATCCTTAGGTGACTGTGCTGGAGGGGGAGGCTGGGTTACCTTACGCTGAACTGACTGGCTCGTCACAGGGTGCTGTATAGGGGCACCAGGTGGGGTGAAAGTACGATTAGGGGGCTTCATGTCAGCTTCTAATTCTGCCACCGTCTTAAATCGCCCAGGAAGATCTACAAACATGATGTATATTTTACACTATATGTTATACCAGTGCAACAGCAATAAATACTCTGCTCCAATAAATACTCTGCCGTATTTCGTGCATCTGATTCACGTATACAAACATACGTTAACAAAGCTTAAAGCAGCGTGAAAAGCGCTAATATATGATTACGGCTAAAATATGTTAAGTACTTATGTTTCAAAAACGAAGCTTAAAACTGCACACACAATGCTACCACTTTTGAGGTCAGAATCTCCCTTTTTTCATCACAGTAGGATAATATGTATGATTTATAAATCCCATTTCAAATGAAAGAGATACTTGTTCATGTACTTACTGAGTGGAGAGGCCACAGAAGGACTACCTGTGCCACTGCTAGATGGAGTAGAACCCTTTCTTCCAAACAACAATGCTTTGAGCTGTGCCTCTGCATCCTGTGCCGTCATACTGCTAGTACCTGTAGAAAAGGAAAGTTTCACGTTATCTACAGAAGACAGCGAATATTTCCTAAACATCATTTAGGTTTAACAATCTAATTCTAACCTCATTAATAATTCTTAGTGAAAAGGTCTGTAAAGGTGTCCAAAGTATGAAATGCTAAAAAAAAAAAACAACTTACTACTCCTGTGAGATCTGTCATGTGAAGAGTTCTGGAACAATGCATTCAGCATGGGACCAATTGTATTTTTCTGCACTGAGGTAAAGTCGTAACTCAGATGTTGTGGTTTGTCTTGGAATGTGCTGTTTGCTGATGTGGAGAATATGGACTGGTGAGTGAAAGAATTGGCAGAGGGTGGTGGGGGTGAAGGGATTACTGGACTCTTAGAACCACTCAACAAATCTGAAATATTGAAAAAATACAAATGTATTTCTCAAATATAAGTTAATACATGTACATGTAGTTGAATTTCCTCCTATTCTGTGTACAGTGATTATCTGAATGTACTGGAACATGTACGTAAACGTTGAGCTATTTTAACTTCACGTACATGTTCAATGTATTTCCTACAAAATCTTACCATTCAGATATCCAAAATCTTCATTGATTGAGGACCTCCTGCTGTTGTCCCTACTGTTATTGGAGAACCACTTACTGAATCGACTCTGGATACCTGTTACATCAGCTGTTGGACTGACTCCATCCTTTAATCAAACCATTTCACTTATATTTAAATATTTCAAATAAAACCTTATGATAGTGAATGAACAAGAATGTTAGATATCTGACTTGCAAACATAACTTTTCCATGTTCAATACTTACATTAAGTCCAGGTAAGTTTTCAATTCTAAAGAATTCATTGAAGTCAAACAGATTATTGTTTTGTGGTGACTGCACATTGATGCTATCCGAGTTGTTGGATTCTTCAGGAGAACTTGGTTCATTTGTTTCTAGACTACCATTTCTGTCAGTCACATTTGCCACTGAAAGAAAAAAAGAACATATTAGAATCACACGTGATAAATCCTAAGCATAAAATGATGACTTCATTTCGTTAAATATCAGCTATGTTTAATTCAACAGTTACCTAGTAAAGACTTCATATCTTTAAAAGCTACATACATAGAATCTTCATAGCTTAATAACTGTCGCATGTGGATTTGGTAAAAGGTCCCAATTGAAAATACTTTTTTTCCCCAAAATTTATTTAAAAGGTCCAAAAGACTGTGTACATTGGACAGTCTAGATTTCTTTCAAAAGTTAGTGCATTAGTTTTTGTGCACTTTGCAAACTTTTCTTTTAAAAATACATGTACACAGCAGTTCATATACTAAATTTAAAGAGTCTGTCCAGTTTGTCAAGGTATGACCTTAATAATCCCAATATTAAGAGCTACATCCTCGTACCAGACTCTCCTTGATGATTCTCCTCCATCTCCTCTTCCTCCTTCTTCTGAGGCACCTCCTCAATCTTGTCTCCTCGTGTACTTGCCTCCTCTTTTTCCATTTGCCTCCAATTGCCTTCATCCTTTTCTGGGGTGTTGGAGCGCCGCTTGTCAAATCCATGGAGTTCAATGCGTTCATGTTGACTGGTAGGTCCCTCTGTAAACCATTCTGGCTCCTCCTCCTCACGACCCCGGAAGGAATCTCGCCTATTTCTGTTGTTATAATGTCCTCTTTCTCTGTAGTTCTGCTGTAAGACAAGAACATGATGTTTAAATTTCAACATATAATCTACAATTACTACAGTATTTCTAATACATGTATACACTTTAAAAACATCTACCATTGATAAATTCCAAAGAATATCTTACCCTATCTTCAAACTCTCGTCTCCCAAAGCCCCTGTTTTCTCTGCTTTCAAATCTGCGGTCTTCACGATCAAACCTGTCACGGATCGCTCTGAAGTCTCGTTCTTGGTGTGCAGGTTCTCGTTCTCTGTCAATTTGGATTCGACCACTTCCTATTCTTCTAGCATTTCTGTCTCTACTGGTAACAGAATTCAACTGTAATCAATTTCTCATCAAACAACATTACTGATCAACATTATCTAAAGTTGAGTTATATTATAATTAATGTAAGAGAACAAAAAAAGGTAAGAATCAGTTGATATCATCATTTTGTTGAATGACTGACATGGAAAACAAGAGGCCCATGGGCCACATCGCTCACCTGAGTAACTTTGGCCATGCTGTTCATTACCAGACTCCCCCCTTGTAATACCTATTGTGGCCCCACCCTCCCCCCAGGGGCCATGATTTGAACAATTTAGAATCTACACTACCCCAGGATGCTTCCACATAAGTTTCAGTTTTTCTGGTCCAGTGGTTCTTGAGAAGATTTTTAAAGATTTTTCCTATATATTTCAATGTAAAACTTGGGATTCCCCCTATTGTGGCCCCGCCCTATCCCCTGGGTCATGATTTGAACAATT